TATCATCATTATTATGTTTTTTATTGTATAGGATTTTTAAATTAATATATAAATTATTTTTTAATCTTTGCTAGCTTCTGAGTTTATATATATATATATATATATATATATATATATATATATATATATATATATAGTAATTAACATAATATTATGATAATGCAGCTTTGATTGAGCCGTGCCAATATCTCAGTTCTTTTTCATCCCATTTGATCTCTTAGCTTATTAGCTTCCATTTGGTATGTTGATATATACTCCCTCCGTCCCAAAAACTTTTTCTTGTTTCATTTTTTGCACATCCCATAAAACATTTCTATTCCGCCTTGAATGCCAAAAAAACTTTCAAAATAACTTCTACCCACAATAAAGAAGAAATGTTGTAAATTTTAGACATTTTAGATGTCGATGGAAGTGTTTTATGGGATGCGTAAAAAATGAAATAGGAAAGACTTTTTTGGGACGGAGGGAGTATATATATATATATATATATATATATATATATATATATATATATATATATATATATATATATATATATATATTATATATATATATATATATATATATATCCACAAATCTTGCTAGGGTTTGATTTTGGTTTGGGGTTCATGGGTTTTAATTAATTAATTGATAGAAGGACAAATAAAAATTCCCCTTAAGTAGAGAATTTTGTACGGAGTTTTTTACAACCATATTAAGTTCCATTTCCATTTTTTGTATCAAAAAACAATCGAATTTTCTGCTGGTTACACTATTACACTAATATGTTGAAACTGTTATTAATCACAAAATACTCTTGTCCCAAATTTTTCTTTTAGGTTGACTTTTTTGGTCAAACTTTACATATTTTGATCATAAATTTTTAAAAAATATATAAGAACATGTTTGGTGATTGTTGAAGATATGATATGATATAATATGATATGCATTTTGATATTTCAGATAAATGATGTGTGTTTTAAAATATGAAACAAGTTGTTTGTAGAAATTTTAAATCGTAACTTACTTGGTGATTGACGCAAGTTGGCAGCAACAGGATGGTTGACGGTAGCCGGTGGCGGGAGAAGGTCGATATCAAAACTCTCTATTTGGATATATTAAAACTCTCTATTTGGAGGATTTGTGATATTAGAGATATTTAATTTGAATTTTTATGACTCGCCAAACATGAAAAATAAATCTAAAATTGAGACATATAGAAACATGTGGTAGAATTTTTAACGAAATAAATCATCGATACATTGCAAACTCAATTTAGAGTTTTGGTTTCGAGATCCCAGTGATCCCATAACACTTTTTGATTAATTTTTCAAATGAAATAAAAGTGAGAGCTAAATGTGTAATTTTACTATGATCATATAATAGCCATCCAATATCAGAAGTCACTGTTGATATATCAATTGTCAAATGAAATCGTTGTCTACTGCAATTATTACATGTTGCTTCTGATCAAAATCTTAGCATACATTCATAGTTATATAAATGAATGTATGTTTGAATGTAAATATATTGTAAAAGTTACAAAGTAGGCCAAACGACCCTTGTATACATTGCAAAAGGACCCATGAATATCACACTTTTGAGCCAATTATTCAAATGTCCATAAAAAAAATCGATGAAATTTGCTTATTGTTTCTTTTGGGTGTAATGAGTCGTAAAATTTCAAAGCCGACTCGCCAATTCTACGTTTTGGTCCTAGCTTCTAGGGATATCATGTTTTTCGATCAATTTCTCAATTAAAATTTGTTTATTTATTTATTTGATTATTAACAACCAATTACAAATAAGTGGTCTGTAAACGGGTAACAAGCTATGCCGCAACGTTCATTTTGGATTGCAAAATGACCCTATATATATATATGGATTCACTAAATAAGTTTTTTTTGTGTGTTTAGCGGCTTTGCTTTATTCCGCCTTCATTGATGTCAGGCTATGCTACAAATTCATTGTCCGTGAGCCCAACAAGAGGGGACACTCCACACAAATGTGTTTCCCCGTAGCCCCCACCATCAGACCCAAATTTGATGAAATTTTGCTCGAATGCTCTCTTTTGCATGTAAAAAAAAGTGGTAAATTTATTACTCCGTATTATTATTACAACATCAGATGACTCATGTATTAATATTATTTATCATTATTTTTTATTATTATTTCCATTATTATTATTATTATTATTATTATTATTATTATTATTATTATTATTATTATTATTATTATTATTATTATTATTATTGAATTTTTTTGAAGTGAGCACAGTTCTTCATTCCACCAACACAAGTACAAGCAAATCCAATAATGATTATCAATGTAAATCTTAGTACTTGTCAAAGTAACAAAACTTTCAATCATAACGGAAAAATTAGACAAAATGGGATGCATCCTCGAGGTACATTACCACAAATTTTAAAAACTCTTGGAGTATATCTTGAAAAATGTGAGACTGAGAATTTTTACCAGAAAATCAAGGGTATTTCGGAGTATATTTGAGATAATGTGAGATCTGAGAGTTATTACCAGAAAATCAAGAGTACTCCAGAGTAACTTTCAACAAAAATGGGTTTCTTACGCCTACTAGTGAAAAAGTAAATTTTAATGGGCGCAATGACCCGTCCGTATTTTGCAGACGTGAATTTTTTGTTTTGGTTTCAGGCTCCTATGAACTATGAAGTAGTAACTATGTCTGAGGATTGAATTCAACGTTAAATTTTATTTAGAAATAAATTCAAAATTCTTGTATATGAAACACAATGTTTAGGTCCATGAACCTTTTGTTAACAAAACTCAAAAAACGAAGATGTATGAACAATTAAAAGAAATACTATGAACATCTTAAGATAGGTAAACCACTACAAGGCCATTACAGTTTTGCGGTTAGTTTCTTGATCAAACTCTTCAAATGCCATTAAAAAGAAGACTAGTTTTAATTTTTAAGACACATTGATATGCAGGGTCGTTGGTTCATGAAAGAGTGCTTCCAATATTTAGTAAATGAATATGCAGAAACTTGTATGATTTTTTGCTGTGCACCAAGATAGATATACAATGTGGAACCCCTACCAACAGCACATGTAATAGAACAGAAGTCAAAACCTTATACTTACTTGGATGTTTTTGTCACGTCGATGTTGCTTTTGATTCCCAACACTGCTTGCTTACAGAGGTTTCTCTCATTAATTGGAAGGACGAAAAAACGAAGCACCCCCACCCCCTGCCTATTGCCCACTTGGTGTATAGTGAGGTACGAACCGAGTCGCGTGTTTGAGGATTAAGTCTTTGCAATCAATCGCATAACTCTTTGGACAGTTTGTTTTGTTTTGTAGCAGTGTGCACTTCTCTTGCTTTATGACTCTGCACTCAAAAATAGAAATAGAGAGGTTTTCAATCGACCCCCAATTTGAACACAAATGCACAGAAAAAGTAACAGCACAGTGATAAGAAGCACAAATACTGAACAACTCGATCCTACATCTCCAAATATTTTTTATGTAAGGTCATATACTCGATAAGATTCTGTGATTTTTTTTTGTTGAAATTGACTTCTCTGAAGCAATTATTTGCAGTGTGGTTCAGTACGGGGTATATGAAAAGTTTTATACCCAAAAATTAGAATACGTGAACCGCGGAGAACAAATTCTTCCATCTTCACCTTAGGTTTTGTTTATTCAACATTTCCTTTTGTATACCAAAAGTGCACCAAGGGAAAAATTCATATAAACAACCTATCTGTGTCTATATATATGTCTATACAAAGACGATTTTGTATGTGAATTTTGCCTTCGGTGTCCAATTTGGTACACACTTTGAGCTATTTTTCATTCCTCATTTACGCTTCTAGAAACTTAATTTCTCACATATTCTAATCGAAAAAATTACTGAATTTGAACTCTTTTCAAGTCCTCATATATTCTCCCAAGGAATTTAATTTTTACCCCTCTACTCCTTTTTAATACCAAACAAGCCCGTAGTTTTTTCCCCTGTTTTTGGACATTTAATATTACGGAGTATCTACTATAATTTCCATCCACAAAACAAAATCTTATTTCAAAGCTTATTTTGTTCAAAAAAGAACTTAATTTTAATCATATTTAACATCTTTGTCAACTAATTGACTGTGTTAAATTTAATTAAACCAACAAATTTTAAATGTTGGTTTGTTTTCATAATTTCTAGCAGTGCTAAAGCCTAAAATTATGAGGTTGTACATTTGTGAAATTGACTCTTTTTATGGTACGGATGGACTACATTGGTCATTGAACACTTGTTTTTCAACAAATAAAGAAAGAATGAAAGAAAGAAAAGATAAACTTTTTCAAGGAGACCTATTTTACATTAACCAAACAGAGCCTCCCACAAGACATATCACACTTGTTATCATGGATACTAGAGTGATATAGTAAACCTATCTGGTGCAAGAAGCACGAGTGTAGTAGAAAACAGCACAAACCTGCATAGGCTGAACGAGGATGATGCAACTGTCATTTTCCACTGGCGTGTGAGTTTTTTATGGGGAACTGAAACATCTCTTTCTTAGGCAACCTCTCAGCCGGCTCTAAAGGACATAATGCTGAAATGGGAGGCAAATATCGTCGTTTCTCACCGTGCTCTTTATCACTTGTCATGGGTTTCAACTCAAAGGCACCCCTTGTAAAACCTTTGGCAACCTGGAGTGACGATTAAGTTGCCACAGTATATATAAATCTTCACTTATTTTCCTTACAAATTCTTGTAATCTTTTACTTTTGTTTCACACTCCCTCTATTCCTAAAAAAGATTGTGTTTGATTAAGATGAACTTTTTAACTTTTATAATACAGCACAGCTATTAAAAGTCATGAACCCTTTTGCATTATTTTAAATTTATTTTATATTTATACTATATTTTCCATATTTAGTCTATAACTATATTTGCCAATGTTTTAAGATTTGGTCCGGTCTAAATCCTTCTGTCCTAGTTTGATCTGGTTTGAATGTTTCTAATCTTATCGATTTTTCCAGTCTAAAATATAACATCTGATCTGGCCTGAAAGTTTCTGGTCAAGTCTGGTGTTATCTAAATACCTGAATAGGAATAGACAAACGCAGTATGCTCCTAGGTCTGGGTCAAGATGTATGCAACTTTACTCGGGTACAACAACATTACCCGTGTCTCAAATGTTCTCGCCCATTATGGGATAAAGGGGGTCGGATGTACGTGACTCCTATGTTTGAAACATGGAGCCGCTGTTTCCAGATGACCCAGGATGAGCATCGAACGTTGCATTGGCAAACAACTACTTCACTATAAAAGAAGTGCAAACAGTTTAAAGGCTCATTTTGCTCTATTCCATCATACCCAAAAACCAAAAAATTGTTAATCTTTGGCTCCATCAGAGATGATGGAAAGAAAGCAGAAAATTTGTTTCCTTGAGATTGAAGATGCATTGCAACATTTACTACCCAAAACTTCATAGAAAGAAGCAAGGTGAACAGATCAACCCCTAAGCTACAAATACCTTCTGTCTGCACTCGTGCATGCATGAATAGGAGATACATGAGATGGGATGCATTGAGAGTTACGTCACTTACGTGTACACAGTTAGATCATGCATTCAGAGCAATAACAGCCACCAGATATCCATAAAATTACTGAGCTTAAAAAGTCCAAAATTGTAAAGTTTATCACACATACCTTCGGTACAACCCAAACTTTGAGAGAGCTACTCAATATATCTAACTTTGTCTTCCTTCCTTGAGTCAAATAGTTATACATGTACTGATCAACCATGAGAATAAATCTGGGCCACGAAACGGGATCTTCGGGGTTTGCTTTCTCATTCATCCTTGACTGATCAAGTATCATGAAAAGAAATTGAATGGAAAATGAAAATGTTGGTAAACCCAAATTTTTGAGATACCCAAAAAATGATAACCTAAACCTCCAGGAAGAGTACTTAACATCAAAGCTCTATATTAATATTAGCCCTTGAGAACTTGTCCCTCCGCTCTCAAATATCTTCACATTACCTAAATGAATAGTGTTTAATAAATAAATGCGCATTATGAATTTTGGATGGATGTGATCCTGGGTTCTTCGAGTTTGAACTTAGGTTCATCTTATTTTAGTCTTTAGAAGTGTTTTAATTAAAAAAACTAGGTTTTTGGAGAAACTAGGTTCACCTCAGATTTCCATCATCTCCGATGGAGCCAAAATTTCACCATTTTTTTGGCTTTGGGGTGTGATGGAATAAATCAAAATAGATCTCTAAACTGTCTGCGCTTCTTTAACTAATGAAGTAGCAGTTAGTCAAGCAATGTAACTTTCGACGTTGAGCCGGGGGTCTCTTTGGAAACAGCCTCTCTACTTTCGAGTAGGGGTAAGGTCTGCGTACACACACCCTCCCCAGACCCTACTCTTGTGGGATTCAACTGGGTTGTTGTTGTTGTTAGGTTCACCTCAGAGAACCTCCAAGAATCCATTTTTGGATAACTTCAGAACTGTTACGGGGGTTAGAGGCCAGGAGGGGTTTAGAGGTTGAGTTCTCATAAAAAAATGGAAATCTCCACCAAAGCAACATTTTTAAAATTAACCTAGGTTAAGTAAATAATTATCCAAACAGCATTTTGTTCAGGCACCTGGGTTCGCCTAGACTCACAAAGTCTACCTAGGTTGTCCTAATGTCCTTTCAAACTATTTAACTTTTGCTTGTTACTTGTAATACAACGACAACCTAGTATAACCCTAACTCCATTGGGGTCTTGGGATCAAGATGTATGGCATTGTATCCCTGTAAAAAAAACAAAAAGCGGTTTCCACTAGGCCCCTGATGCATTCATGCACTTAACCATTTACTGTGCAAAACTTCACAGAAAGTAAGAAGCAGCTTCATAGATCGTAAGAAGCAAGTGAAGTTTAGTCCATTATTTACTGAGGCTAAAACATAGTAACATGACTCCTTTAGCTCCATTTGCAATGAATGCATTTTTTTCAAATGTTATAGAAGGTTGTCAATTTATGGGGAAAAAATAATTATCACCTTAAAAATAACAAACATTCCTTGATAATTATTTGAGGACTGAGTAAATCCAAGACTTAGCCAGTTACTCTGTATAAATAGAGTATAAACTGTATTAGAGAAAAACTTACCAGAAAACGAGAAATTCCGCGCTCAATTTTGGAAAATGCAGTCTGCAAAGCTACCACCCTCCCAGTGCCATAACAACAAGTGCAGGGTTCACTGATCATAAATGGCACACTTGGTCGAACCTGTCAAAACAATAGCGTTAACACACTGTGCCAATGGCATGTCTAGTTTTTGTATCAGGGTAAATGTACCACCAAATGTGATGTGTGGAATTTCGTTGTGCCAAGTTTGACAGTTTTTTTAAAAACCAGATGGATTACATACTCTTTTCCTTGTAATTTCCATAAGTCCATGCGTGGATAACTCAGACACATTGACAGTTGATCTATCCCTTTCAACAGCCTTCTTCATTTCTTCGTAGACCAACCTTTTATTTGCTAAAGCAAAAGAAGAGTTTAAAGCTCAAAGATCAAAAAATTGACTGCTAATGAGTGGGTCTTTATTAATTACAAAGTATAATGTAAAAAAAAGACATGGTAGATGTAAACATCATCTTATGGAGTTATGGTAATGAATGGATCTATATTCCTTGGCATTCAACCTCCTCTTAAGGTGAAATAGAGGAAAGAATTTGTTGCTTGGTGAGGAGATGTGGGGGATGGGGTGGGGGTGGGAATGAAAACCATTTTCATTTCCCTCTTGAAGAGAAATAAGAAATAAATATGTTCCTTCTTATTTCTATATCATGTCACTCCAAACAAACAACGCAAAATCTACCCTATATCTCTCTTCTCAAATTAGAGAAGCAGCATGCCAACTGAATGCTACAACCATGCAGTACAAGTAATATACTTACAATAATCCACCATATCTATGAAGTCCACAACAATAAGACCACCAATATCTCTCAGCCTCAATTCCCTAGCAATCTGCAAATTCATGAATCGTTTATGTATACTGCTACAGTTTTATTTATTCTCAAACCAGAATTACAATAGACGATTGCCTAACTCATTTAGCAGCTCTGAAAAGATATAGTCAAAGCCTAAAAGCAGTGTAAAGAAACTTGAACTTGTGCTTTGCATACTTGTCTCGCTGCTGCAAGGTTGACTTCAAGAATTGCTTGCTCTTGGGATGTCCCATTCCCAATCATACACTGACCACCATTAACATCGATAGAGAATAACGCCTCTGTTTGTTCTATCACCAGATAACCTCCATTAGAAAGAGGAACCCTGCAAAACTTATTATCACAATCAGGCTCGCATATAAAATAATATGCCAACCTAGTCGCACGGTAAAAGATGCCGAGAAACCACTGGCCTTTTGGAATTTGGAGCACAGACTGAAATGAATATACTCAGTAATATAGCTATAGAATATGAAAGTAAGGTCACTTCTAACAGTCTCTTGTCTGGAATCAGCCATGTCATGTTGAGTAATTATAATTTTTCTGTTTAGTCTCAATTGCCTCAATTCGACTTTTTTTATTCACATCTTTTCTACAATTAATTTTTACAGTATAATAGTCGAATTGAGTTTATGCAGTTTTAAATGCTCCGTAACTTTGTGTGCCTACATATAAGGCCACTGCATGCCACTTTTAACGCGCATAGTAGGCTCGATGTACTCGTATTTAAAGGTATCTTATTCACCAATCACCACTTTTGTAACATCAAAATTATAGCATATACTTCATACAATACACTCTTCTTTTCAATGAAGAATACCTCTCACCTAAATGTGATACAACATAACATAAATATCTCTCACCTGTTAATAAGAATGTTATCTATTTCTCCCTCAATCTCATATTTATCAAAGAGTGGAGCTTCGTTGATGTATAATTCAACTCTGTGACAAAGATTAGGAGCTATTTCTTGAAGATAATTTTTAACCTGAAAACAACATGACAAAGTCAATAAAGATTTGAGCTTGTGTTCAACCAAGCTATATAGGTTTTAACCTAGAGTTAGATAGGTTCAACCACTTAGCCTCAAACTCTCAAAGGCATGCTAGAAGCCTATAATTGCTGGAATTAGCTTATTATTGATGGGATTACCGAAGGACTGTGTACACTTTTTTTTCATAAGGTGCGTGTGTGTGTTCTTCAATGTATGTAGTAATCATCTTCTAAATCGGCAATGAATCTAGACAAATAAGCAAAATCTAGAACATTGATTACTTAATTAACTGCTACCTCATGATATATCTTTCGAGAATCAACCACCATGCTCTTAACCTGAATATTTTGGCAAATTAAACGAATCATGAAAATTGTCAGACATAAATACTAAATGTGATATCTTCAATTATAAAGCGACAATAGCTAAGAGGGATTGAATGAGAATATCACACCTTGCCATTAAAATAATCCTGGACAATAGATAGTGTTTGACTCATGGCCTGGTGAAGCATAACCGGAACTGCTCCATCTAATCCTTCATCGGCAGCAAGAGCAGAAGACTTTGCATGCTCCCTTATGCTTTTCCAAGTTGAGACCAAACCTTCCAGATCCTTCTTTAAATCATCTGATGAATGACCCACAGCAACAGTTCTTAGAGTAATGCCAAAACCTGGAGGCTGTAAGGTCTCTGCTATTCCCCTCAGACGAGTGCGCTCAGGACCACATATTTTCTTTGAAATCCCTATTGCGTTGCTGCTAGCACGTAAAACCTGAAGTCCCGAAGATTAAAAAAAACTTCAGTAAACAAATATTTCCAACTATTAGACATATAAAAGATGAATTCCATACCCAAAACCTGCTTCGTAATCGTGGATATGGAGTGACTGAGGGGCCCTTTCTACCTAGTCCTTCTTTAGTAACTTGTACAATTATTTTTGTACCTTTCTGAACCTGCGCCCACATTCTTTTACTAATATCATGATTGTGATTTTTCTTAAGATGGTGTCTCTGAATACCATGACCATCACTTTCCGTACCATTTCCTCTAAAGTCTACATTTTTATCAGTATCATGATTTTCATGCTGATCACAATTATCTTGTAAATATTCGGCAGGGTCATCATCTATGTCATCATCCTCTATAACTTCATCTAAAGTAGCTTCAGTTTCAAGATCTGAATTTTCTCCAAACTTGACAGGCTCATAGGCAATGGTTTCTCGGCCCCTATCATCAGAAAATGGAGGAAATATGAATGGCTCCTTATGAATATTTATGTTCATAAATGCAGATTGGTGGTTGCCAATATTTACAAATGCACCACCCATCTGGGGGGTTAAGCAGGTAATTACGCCTAGATACACACTATCACATTGCACATTGTTTTTTACAGGCTCCAACAACAATTCTACTAATCTCCCATTTTCTAAAACAGCAATCCTTTGCATTGTGCAAACAGAGGAGTTTATCAATATAACTGTGTTAACTGAGTTATCCCCGGTAATTACAGTATTCTCAAGAGGTGATTGCTTCTCATATTCTTGAAAATGCTCTTTTCCTTTTCCGTGGTAAGCTTTCTCACTTCTAAAATGTTCATCACAAGTAGACACGCCGGTGGTCATTTTGACATTAGAAATGGAATAATCAATCATTGGTTCTGCCAGACAGGGCTCCTCAACAGGATATCCTGATTCAAAGGAGACTACTGGACTGCCAGTGTTCTTATATGTTGTAGTACCTTCAACCCGACACTCAATCTCTTTTCCTGTTGTGTCTGCACTTCTAGAATGTTCTTCACAAGTAGACACATCAGAGGCCATTTTGAGGTTAGAAATGGAATAATCGATCATTGATTCAGCCAGCCAGGGCTCCTCAACAGGATAACGTGATTCAACGGAGGCTACTGGAACTGTTGTCTGGCGATTTTCCGCACTTCTAGTATGTTCTTCACAAGCAGACACATCAAGGGTCATGTTGACATTAGAAAAAGAATAATCGATCGTTGATTCAGCCAGCCAGGGCTCCTCAACAGGAAAACCTGATTCAAAAGAGGCTACCGGAATTTCACTCTTCTTGTCTGTTGTAGCAACTTCAACCCGATATTCGATTCCAGATTCTCCTGCATCAGCGGTGGAAAGCTGTGTATCGATACCATCACCACCATCTGATTCTAAAAATTGATTAGAAACCAAAGGCAGCTGCAATAGCCACGGCTCCTCAACAAAACTGAAACACTTCACGCTCTTGTGTCCAACTGCCAAAATACTGGAAGTGATTTAGTGCTGAAATAGTAAACATTTTGGAAGATGTGAATATGCGCACAGCAGCAGAAGTAATACCTATAGCTGGGCGTGGAATGAAGAGATGCACGGGAACAAATCTCCCAATCACCCAGGACCTAAGCAAACCACTGAAAGGCCTCCTAGAATATCCACTCCACGCATCTCTTCTATAAGATCTACCTTGTTTAGAATGAAAATTCCCTAAGATGGAGAAATCTGGTCCAGATTTCCATAAGGCATCACTCGATGCCAACATATCTACAATCATAATAGAGCCAAACCTAAAATACAACAGACCAATTGTTTCAATCTCCAGATGATAAGAACTTACTGAAGATTAAAGTGACGTAATTAATACTCCTAGCGAAGTCTCATTTCCACACAAAACAAATGCAATACCTAAAGAGCTATATGGAGCATGGAGACGCTGAGAACCTGTGGAGAAATCGAGCGTCTGGCGGCGGGACACTACAAGCGGCGTACGGTTGACTGGAAAATTAGGACAAAGGCGTCCAGATACGTTGGAAGACGGCGGACTATGGATGGGACTCGGCGGAGCTAGCTGTAAGAAGAGAAATGTGAGGAGTTTGTTCGAGTTTCCGGCAATGGCGACTCCAGCGGCTTTTGAAGGTTTTTTTCCCCGCCACGGGTTAGATAAGAACGACGGAGGATAGCGGAGGAAATCGAAGCTCCACGCGATCACTCTCGACTCTTGAGAGAGATTGTGTGAAGTGTGAACAGTAGACGAGTCAAATTTCTAAAAAATTTATTGGATTATGCTATGTGTACCCCAAGATGTGTACCCCGCAGTTTTGCACCAACATTTTGTGTTGGTGTAAAACTAATTTTTGTTAAACGCACCAATATTTGTGTCCGTGTGAATTTTTATTAACGCACCAACACTTGTGTCGGTGTAAACCATCGAAATGTTTGTGCAAAACTGTGGTGTACAAATGGGGTATATTTGTTGGTGTAAGTGTAGCATGGTCCAAATTTATTTTAATTATCCGAGGAGTGAGAATAATCTTTTTTTGTCAACTTATTATTTTTCTTATTTTTTATTATAATAAGATCAGATTAGATTAAATCAGATCAGAAATAACTTTAATTATAATTGCAATCTGGTCAGATCGGATATTCAAAAAATCACATCAGATAAAATTAAATCAGGCAAACGGAACGCAACATAAATCCCTCCATTAATACTCCCTTCGTCCCCCAGTTTTTGTTCACTTTCATTTTTGCACACCATCCAATACACTTCTTTAATCCATTTTATCTTGTAATTTGTATATTAAAAAATTATAGAAATTATATATTAATAATCTATATGTTAAGACAAATCAAACAAGATCACACATGACTATATTTAGGCTTACACATTGAGAGAATTTGATGAGTCAAAGCGCTTAGATGAACAATTTCAAAAGTCAAAAGTGGACAAAAACTAGGAGACGGAGGGAGTAAAAAAAATGAGTCAAAATCTCAAATCATTCTTTTTTCTTTGGAAAAATTACCCAAAATAATCCCAACTTTACCCGGTCTTTCAAAATTAATTTCACCTTTCACTGTGATGCATAATAATCCCAACTTTAATGAAATTTGCCAGTTTTGGGTCGCCGTTAAGTTTGTAACGGAGGGTTAACGGAAATGCCCATTTTAGGCAACAAAATGAAAGTTGGGATTATTTTTGATGAATTTTTGTTTTTTAATTTTTTTTTGAAATTTTCATTTAAATTTTTTAAATTACTTTCTACCTCCATCATCATTTCTTTTTCCTTTTTTAAAGATTAGTCTTAGTTTAAAAAATAAAAACAATAGATATAAAAAATGAAAAAATGAGAAATGTAACTAAAATGGTATAAAAATAATAAAATAAATAAGGTAATCAATGGAACTAACTTGAAATTGGAAAAAGTAAAATAAAAATATACGGGTGGGTTTTAATATTTTAGGCATTATACAAAGTATTAACATATCACTTCTTATTTTTTAGAAAAAATTATCTACAATAATTTCAACTTTACCGAACGGCTTGTTCTTTTAAAAAATAAGTAGTACATTAAGACTCCGTATAGTGTGTAAAATGTTAAACACGCGACTCCATATATATTTATTTTATTTCTTAACAGTTTCTGTTTAATTTCTATTGATTACATTATTTATTTGATTAATTTTGTATGGTTTTAGTTATTTTTCTCATTTTCATTATTTTTTATAACTATTTTTTTTTCTAAAATAAGAATAATCTTTAAAAAAGAAAAAAAATGGAGGTTGAAAGTAATTCAAAAAATTTAAATAAAAATTTCAAAAAAAATTAAAAAACAAAAATTCATCAGAAATAATCCCAACTTTCATTTTGTTGCCTAAAACGGGCATTTCCGTTATCCCCCCGTTAGAAATTTAACGGCGACCCAAAACTGGCAAATTTCAGTAAAGTTGGGATTATTTTTGAAAAACCGATTATTTTAGAACTTTGTAAATTAAATGAGTATGTTTATTTGGAGACGGAGTATTTTACATTTAATTTACTCTATACGGAGTATTATTTATGAATCTTTATTGGAGATTCTGGTATTCAAATTATTGGCAGATTCTTTTGTGATCTTTAATTTCATGCTCATTTTATGAACTTTCACACATAATATGATTTTAAGTAATGATCTTGTAAATATAAAAATTATGAATCCATAAAAAATACTCCCTCCGTCCGGGAATATTCTTCCCGTGTTGACTTGGCACGCTTATTAAGAAATAGTAAAAAATGCCAAATTTTCAAAAATGCACATACTATAAATTTTTAAATCTCCTATTCTTATTAAAAAAGCAATAAAAAAGTAGATTAGTGATAAAATAAAAGGGTATTATTGAAACTTATCCTTAAAAAATATACTAAAAAAGAAAATGGAAAGAATATTTTCGAACGGACCAAAAAGGAAAATGAAAAGAATATTTCCATACGGAGGGAGTATGCCAGAAGATCAATATTTTATATATGTGACTTAGGATCACAATAACACAACTCCACATTATTATAACTAAAAATTTTATTTCAAAATGATATAATAACTATGTAATATTATTTATATAAGCTAGTAAATACAAAGTATCATATAATGTACTTATAGATTATTTATAAGTAAAAAAATAAGTAGATTTTACCAATTTATTCATAAATTTGTTTTTTCGATTTTCTATTTTGACTAAATCATTTACAAAATCATCTTCAGTCTTATATGAATATTACCAAATGGCTCGTCTCTTATTTAATTTATTTTGCAAAAGTACTTCAATAATAAAAGTCTTACAAGTATAGATTAAAAGTAAGTTGTCATCGATAAACTAATAAACACCAGCATATAGAAACATCCTATAAAAATAGAGGTGTTACAAAATAAACACAACAAGTTTCAATAAATCTAGAGGAAATGCTCCCATACTTAAAAAAAAACTATATAAAGTGTAAGTAGTATTTCTTTTTTTAAGTAAACAATATGACTTACCTAATGCATTGAAAATTGACACATTAAATTTTCTTTAGCTCTTAGTTTCTATGAAGTTTCCACTCTAAACACAATAATGCTTGTGATGAATGTTAAATTCATCAAAAATTATTGATATTAGATTAAGTAATACATTCATATCGGAATAAAAATACAGACAGACAAAACTTTGCATTGCCATTAAAATAACAAGACTATAATGTCTCCTCAGGTAAAAAAGATGTCATATTTATAGTATAAGTTCATGATATGATTTTGCAATCCGTAATTAGTAACAACTACAAAGCATATCTTATTAGAAGTCAACCGCGTGAGGGTCACGCCACAATTTCTAAAGTAGTTGCAACCGCAATTCATATCTAGGGTTGTAAATGGAAAATCGAAAATTCGATTACCATCCACACTCGTATCTATTTAGGAGAAATACCAAAGTAGGACTAAAACATTGAAAACATACCAAAATAGGACTTCCATGTTTTTATTCCCGAAATAGAACTTACATTACCAAACATGGTCATATACATTACCAAAAAAGTATAGTAATCTGCACATATACACTGCCACATTACCACAATGCAAAGTCACATTACCACAATGCAAAGTCCTATTCCGGAAAAAAAACATGAAAGTCCTATTTTGGTACTTTTCTCTATGTTTTAATCCTATTTAGGATGATTTCTATATCTATTTATACGAAAAATTATCCGTATCTGATTAAGGACATCTAGTTGGTAAGCAGATACAAATTTGGTAATCATACATTCAATCCATTTATAATTCACTCCACATATACATCTATTTAGAAAACCGTTTATCCGTGTCTTTGATATGTTATATACGGAGTATGACATTTCATAAATTTTTACTGTTATATTTTTTTTTTCAATTAACATCTTAAAGTATAAGACATCTTCATACGTAATATTGTTTATACACTACAAAAAAATAAGAAAAATACTACTCCGTAACAAATCACAATTACATAAATACTGAGTATATTAAAAGTATTTATATACTACGGAGTATATATTCAATTTGACTATGAAAATTTAGTAACGGATACAAATATATTCGATATTTGATCGATATCCGACGGATACGGATACAATTTTAATCTTTAGCATCCGTCAAAATGCGTACCCAAATTCAATATCCTGGAAAAAACAAATACAGATCTAATAATGGCACATCCAATTCGATTAACATCCGTTTACGCAAGGTTGAATCTAGCTTCCAGGTTATCACAACTCGATTCCCTTTTCACGTGGGGCTACGTCTCATTTTTGGGCCGAGGTGCTCCGATCCCTCTTTCGCGGGCTTCCCCTGGAAGTGGATTGGGCTCGACATTTTGGGTTTAACTATAATAAATAAACAAATGGGCTGGGTTGTTGGGTTCGGACAACCCCTGTCCCCAATATATACCCCATGAGCATTAATGCATTCTAACAAAAACATCCTCTCTATGTTTTCTCAGAGGGGTAAAGTTGTGTACATATTGACCTTCCAAAACCTTACTTAGAAGAGCTATGGCTGCTCACGACCAACTGCAATTCTGCAATTACTACTTACTAGGTTTCATGTTCGGCGGTACACATGACACCTTCACCGGAACCACCACGATTGACACACGCCTTACCCCACCCCCGCCACCGGGCCGTAATCAATAACCACTGCATTGAGCCTAGATGTAGTTCTTGTGATCCTTCATAGCTTTCTGGAGTCCACCAACGACGTGTTTACAGCTCAATTTATTCGGTGCGAACCCGATTTTCATCATATTCTTTTGAAACTCCATCAATTCACCGACATTGCCTTTCTCACCAAGAAGACGTAGTACCCTGTTATAGCAAACCATATCAAAAACGTGGTATTTCCGAGCAAAGAAGCCTAGTAAGAACAGTGCTTCATTGATGTTCCTGTCACCACAGTGTCCAACAACCAAAGCTCTACAAATTTCTGCATCTGGTTCCAACCCCAAATCGATCATCTCTCGCAACATGGAATTCGCCTCTAGATTTCGACTTGATGCACACAAACAAGTAATAATAGATCTGTATGTGTCCAAGCAGAGCTTCAACCCTTTACCTTCTTCCATCTCATCCTTCAAGCGAAGCGCCTCATCCACACAACTGCAATTGCAAAAAGAAATCATCAACTCTCTGTATATTACCATGTTAGGCTCGAACCCGTTGTCAATCATACGGTCCAAGAAATTCTTGGCTGCAAATGGTCTATTATCCATGCAAAGAGCAATCACTACATGCTCATGTATATCTTGAGATACTGAAATCCCAAACTTCTGGACCTCCAGAATCAGATTCAAGGCCGAGACAAGTCTTCCGTGTTTCCTAAACCCTTCCACAAGTTTCCGGAAGCTGAAATCGTCGGGTCCCACTCCATCTCGAATCATGTCATGCAACAAAGACTTGGCTTCATGCATCATCCCCTCCTCACAGTACCCATGAAGCAGAGTGTTAAAAGAAACAGAATCAGGTTTAAGGCCTCTATGGACCATCCCAAGAAACAACTGGTGAGCATCTTTGACATTACCGGCCTTACAGAAACCACTTATCAAAGCAGTATAGGTTATCAAATCCGGGGGGATGCCTCTTTTGTACATGATGTAATACAAATGGACAGCATCTTTCAACCTCCCTCTCTTGCAATAACTATCAACTAACATGTTATATGTAACAATGTCTGGTTCAAACCCTTCTTCCTCCATCTTCTCCATAAACTCATCCACCATGCCCAAATCCCCACTCCTGCAGAGGGAGTGAATCAAGATGTTGAACGTGCACGAGTTCGGGCTCACCCCAATTCGCTGCATTTCATCATACACTTCCCAGCACTTCGAGAAATGATTCGCCTGGGAAAGTGCATTTAAGAGAATGTTGATCGTGATCACATTCGATGAAAACCCGATTCTAGATGCATTTCGAAATGCCCTAAGTCCACGCTTTAGCATCCCAGACCTGATATAAACCCTAATAAGCATATCAAACACCACAGGGCTCCAATTGCACAGCTCGGCAGCTTGAATCAAGCCCTTGAACACAGAATCCTCCTTTGTCGCGGTCATTCGAACAAGGTCTGACAGAACCTCCATTGCCTGCGAATAATTGCTAGACCAAGCTAATATGTGAACCATGAGGCAGTAGTTGAGCGTGTCTAACCTGTTACCATTGCATTTGAAGCTTTTTCTGGCCCAATCGAAGAAGGCGAGAGCGGCGTGAGAATCGGATTGGCATCTCAAGAGAACTCTTGAGATTTCCGAGCTCGTCAACGGACGACCGGAAATCTCCGCTTTCCGGCCGGCAATCCTGATTAGGTTTCCCGGTTTGAGTGCGGAACACACTAGGTCGACAGTTTTGGCCGGATTTTCTGTATCCGGAAGAAGATTGTAGAGTGGGCTTGAGATCGAGCTTGTTTCAGATTCACTCTCATCCGCCGGTGCTACTTGAAGTGATGATGATGATAAGAACAGATGTTGAGAGGATTTTGGGGGGAGATGAAATTTATGTGAAAGAAAAGAAGAAGAAATTTTGGTTGATTTCATGTTCAATTTGGAGGTAAGAGTCGAGGCTGGTTCATTCAATAAAATCTCATCTCACTTCTTACAATTGGAATAAAGGAGTCCGGCGCCGGCGCCGGCGCCGAATGCAGTGGATGGGCTCTCATTGAAAGTTTGAAACAGAGATACCCAGGTGGGTGATCTTTGGTTGGAGTAAAATATTTTAACCACTCCGGTTACATGGCCACTGGACTGCAGTGTCCATGGAAGCCACTGCTTTCATACGAAACTTCGTTCATAAAACTAATAATTTCTACCCTCTATACGGTAAACCCCGGCCAAGTCCCAATAAATATTGCTTAGTAAGCACATGAGAACCGGGCTCTTAAGATAAATATTGCTTATTAAAGCACATGAGAACAATTCTCATAGCAAGCAACTAAATTTGGGGATACAATTTAGAGAGAGGGTTTACGAGAATTATGAGTGGTAGGAATTGTCATGGAAACCAGAGAGTTTACACACACAGAAATGAAATTATGTTTTTAATAAAATACATTCTTAATTGTTTACATTTAAAAATTGATATTAAAATATATCTGGGGAATGTTTTCAAGATAATTTTAGAATAAATTATCAAAATAATCTTTTGTAATAAAGTATTTTTTTAATTTCATCCTCAAGAAATTTTAATTACCTTCGTAATACTTTATAATTAAGATTTATTACTCAAATAATCTTTCATAAATAATGTTACTCGGATGATGATTAGTTAAAGAATATTTTGTTATTTCTATTATTTAAATTTAAAATATATTCTCTAAATGATAATTTCTATAGAATTACATATAAAATTAAAAAATACATTGATTATACATAATCTATGAATTTCTAGAAACCTATAAAAAAATTAAATTCGAATCAAATATACATCTTTAATTAGAAAAATAATATTGGAAAAGCACTTCATTGAAAATGATAATTTTAAAAACTTATTCTAAATTTAGATAATAAAAAATAATCATCAAGTGAAAAACATTCTTTACAAAGTATTATCTAGAAAATAATTCTTAATGTAAGTAATTAAAACTTACTCTTTCCGTCCAACAATAAAGTTCTCGTTCACTATTCATATGGTCAAACTTTATTTAATTTGTTGGCTTGTTTTTGTGTCTTATTTGATAAAATAATATAGTCATGTCACTTCTAATTTTGTAGATTTTTCATGTAATTCTTATTTTTTTAATTCCATACCATTTTGCATATAAAATGATTTGAAAATAATTTCAATCAAATATCATAACGCGCAATGTAAACTTTATTTGTGGACGGAGAGAGCATTAAAAACTAATCTGGAAAAATACTTTATTAGAGAGAATCATTTTTAAAATTTACTTTAAGGTACTCGTATCGAAGGAGCGGGCAAACGATAATTTGGTTTGGCACGAGTTTAATAATGAAATAAATTGAAAAGAAACATACTCAAACTCCGTAACAAATTGTGTATTTTCTTTTATGTTGCAAGTGAATTATATTGACGCCTGCTTAAGCAAAGCATCGTTGGGCGTTTGGTCTACTGGTATGATTCTCGCTTTGGGTGCGAGAGGTCCCGAGTTCGATTCTCGGAACGCCTCATTGATATTTTGAATATCAATTCTTTTAGATTTTTAGGCTCTACGAGAAATACTATTCCAATTCAGGTCCGATTCTTTTGCTTAATATTTTCCATCTCAAAATATTTTATATTTTACACAAAATAAAATGACTTTAGAAGTCTTTTAAAATAATTTTATCTAAAATTTGATGTATGAATAAAAAATAAAATTTGTATGTCTAAAAACAAGTCAAGAGTTTTAGAAAATAAATGAGACAAAAATATTTTAATTTTTCAAATAATTAATCAAAACACACATACAGACAAAATATTTTGTGAGTTTTGAATAGTAAATAATGTAATTCTTTTTTGGACTAAGGGAGTATTCGAGATTGAAAGAAGTTAAATGAAAGTGGTAGGAGTTTAAAATATAGGGAAAAAACACTACAATGTTAAAAAAAATGACTCAGTTAAATGATCAAAATATTTTTTAAAAAAAAAACCTTGTTTTGGATAAAGAAGAACTCATTTTTGCTAGTATTTTAATTGATATGTTATAAATTTGGATGTACGATATTATTGTATGTTCATCACTTCATGATCATATGAGTTGGAAAAAACTAAAATGAGTTGGATATAATTGAAAAGGAATTAGAAGAAACTGAGAAAAATTGGATAAAGCTGGAAGTTTACATTTCTAATTAAGGTCGTGTTTGGGAACAACGTCTTCGATTACATTAGCGTTTTGATGAAATTTTAATAGTATAGATTAATTCTGAAAACGTTAATACTAAAGACGGCCGTCAGATAATCTTTTCAAAATACTAACATTAATCTCTAACGTTGAATCGCTAGTGCCAAACTCTTAATCATATCTTGAAATACTATCCTTGGTGCATTCAGGCCCGATTCTCTTTTTTAATATTCTCCGTCTCAAAATATTTTATATTTTACATAAAATGAATTTGGATGTTTTTAATTTATTTTATTTAAAAATTGATATGTGAATAAAAAATAAAACTTGCATGTCTAAAAACAAGTTAAAAGCTTTAGAAAACAAGATCAGACAATAATATTTTACTTTCTCAAATAATCAATAAAAACACACATACAAAGAAAAATTTTAAGTCCATTGCTAACGGCCAAAAAACTTTTTTCCTTGACATTATGTTCAAGTCCCAAAGAGGACCTCTAGGAGTCGTTGATATTTAAAGCTTTTACCACCACTTTAGCGTGTCTTATAATCATACCATCATCCCGGTACCAAACATGAAAGAGCAACTCGTATTTATCCCGTATCTGATAATAAGAGAATGCAAAACTAAGGGGCTGTTTGTTTCAGCCTCTTAATGGTTCAGATGTCTGAATGGTTCAGATGTCTGAATGGTTCAGCACTTAATAGTTCAGACTGTTTGTTTCAGCCTCTTAATGATTCAGATGTCTGAATGTTTAAGAGATTTACCTCTGAATGGTTAAGTATTATACAGAGTCTGAATGGTTAAGACCTCTTATCTGAATTGATCAGACATTTGCCTCTGAATAGTTAAGCAATATGCTAGCTCTTAATGGTTCAGACCTCTTACTAGTTCAATACTTACCTATTCAGAAGTTGTCAAACAACCCCTAAGACATTAAGAAGAGACTCCAAGGGGGTCTCCTTGCTGAATAATATCCCAATGGTGGACCAAAATGATCATCCCTAACATATAATCATAGGACAAATTTGTCCTAGGTACAATCTGTATCTAGGACAAATTGGCCTAATCCCATTGTCTCGTGTGAGCAATGAACTCCACCATGACCATAGGGCACCCCTCGCCTAAGCACAAGCTTACCACCTCAGGAATAGCTCTAAATAAACTATCAACAATTGCTGACCCTTCTCCACATAGAGCAACCAACCCATCCCTCCCTCCCACAAGTTATCCACAACTAGAGGGGCTAATTAAGAGAGTAAACCTCACCAATGGGAGCTATATAAATTATGGTCAAAGTGTAATAAAGTTTGACTAAGAAAGTCAAATTGTGATAATCTGTTTTGGATCTAGAGAGAGTATAAAATACACTCCGAATAATGACAGGGCTACATCAAAAAGTGTGCCCTAAAGAATGTATAAGTGGATAAAGAATGTATGGTGACGATTAATAATTAGGAGCCAAAATAGGTTGTTTTTGGAACGGGAGGGGGTATATATATTTGAGTGCTAATAATTAATAACTAAATATTCACTGGGTCTTAGCTTGCTGATGTATTATTCATGTAATTTGATTTACAATACAAGCATGCCATTACTGAACAAAGTTCATGATTTTAGTGTAACTATATATAGTACCAAACACTCACACATTATTCGAATATTATTGGAAGTTTTACCGTAGATATTGTGGCATTTTATATGCCTATACGTGTGTGCATGTGTTGGTTACAATAGGGCACTTAACTCCCAAAGGGCCTTTGGTTGGCACAGTCCAAATTGTCCCCATACCCAACTCCAAGAATGTCACAATACCTCTTGTAAAACCCAATCCTATCATTCATTTGTGGGTTAGACCCTTTGTTGCATTCAAGACCACCATTGATGATATTGGTGACCACTCCGTACCCGGGGACGCGACCGGCTGCTCTGTCTGTGGCCGACGGAGTCCATCTCCCGGTGATGGCGTCGTGCGCCGATGGCTTTGGAGACTGGGGTGTCATCCAGAACCATAAGGCTGTTTTGAAAGAGATAATTGAGTTTGTTGCCACCAAGTCAGGATTAGCTAGTAGATTCACCCCTATGGCTCTACCAGCTGGACCATAATTGTAATTGCTACAAATAAAAAAAATATAAAATAACAAAAAATCATTAAGTAATTAATTTCTTTCATTCTTTTAAATGCATTTGTTGAAATCATTATTGAGGATATAAAGTCCTACATCAAATATTGAGAAACAAGTAATACATAAAAGGTGTTGTTAATTGTTATATTCACCCCTATCATGACTAAATTTATGTGAAATTTGCACTAAATAGGACTAAAACATAATGACTTTCCTAATGTAGGACTTAAACTTTTTTATTCCCTAAATAAGACTTAATAATGACCCAGTGGAAGGAATAATGTCACGTAATGATGGACATTTAGTTGAATAATGACTACATGATAATGACCAAAGGTCCTACATTGGAAAATAAAAACATATGGTTCTATATTGGGAAAGTCATTATGTTTTAGTCCTATTTAGGTAAATTTCTCTAAATTTATTTCATTCATATCCAATGGATAATTTTTCCTTTAAAAATAAGTTAACATCTAATACTCCCTCCGTCCCTAAATAAACTTCCTCTTTCGTTTTTTCTTTGTCCCCAAATAAACTTCTCTTTTCCCTTAAAAAACCCCTTTTACCTTTTACTTTTTCATACCCTACCTATCACATCATATCTTTTTACTAATAATCTACTCCGTACATATCACATCTTACTTTTACACATCACATCAAGGGTATTTTTGGAAAGTCAACACAAAAATATCCATCCATTAAATCTTCAAAAAGTCAAAAACGGAAGTTTATTTAGGGACAGATGGAGTATTTCTTTTATGTGCTTTAAGGGCAAATTATTCATTTAATTCTAAATGAGTGGAGTTAAGCATAAGAGTAGATATTGCAACACCCTACATAAAAATATTTGTGCCACATCTCAATATTATTTGTGCAACACCCTAGGTATCCATTTGAATTGTGTGTGTATGTATGTATGTGTGTGTATATATATACACACACATATATAGGGAATCGTTCCTGTAAAAATGAATCTTGTGGAGACAAATGAGAAACAAGTAATGCATAAAAGGGTGTTGTTAATTATATTCACCCCTATCATGACTAAAATTTATTTCATTTATATTCAATGGATAAGTTTTCTTTTAAAAATAAGTTAACTCTATATATATATATATCGGTAAGTCTAAAATGACACCAGTGCTACTGGTGTCATTTGCTTACACCAGTTCGTTTGGGGTACTTACGGTGCTCCGTTTGTAAGAACGACGGTTCCTATCCCCCCTAACCCTCTTTCTAAACCCCCACCCCAGCCCTCCCTCCCACCCCTTCCTTACCCTGGCAGTACACACGAGGTTTGATCCTAAGATCAACAGGCTTGACATTCTCTCGTTAGATGAGTTGAGCTAAGACATTAAAGATTATTACGAGAATGGACGTACTAGGAAATTTGGATAGGGCCACGACCATAGTATTGCTTGCCAGGAGCACATGGCCATTGTTGGCTCTGTTGACAGTAATTTGAAGGTGGGTTTCTTTCTTGTTTAAAGCAGTATCCCCATGCATATGGTCCATCCGGTGCAGTTCCCCACCCACCTGCAATTTTCAATTACTTTTTCTTAACAATTTTAATTTAATCACAAACCATATAATATAATTACACAAGTTTATTTATGGAGTATAAAAAAATCAAAAGTGAGACTAAACTAAGTTTCCTATTCGGATGAAGTTAACAAACAGCGGAGAAATCATTTACTTTTGGAACCCCATACTTCTTTTTTTACTTTAAAATGATCTAGGTCATCCACGGTCTTAGGCAAGTTTTGTGTATTTTATTACAGGTCGAGTGTGTCTAGGTCAAACCCAGTTAACCTACCCAGCTATATTTACATCATCACTTATGAACATAAAACTTATAATTAAAAAAAGTGGTAATAATAATAATAACTCCAAAAATTACGGATACTATATATGGGATATGGAGCATTTTCAAAAACACTAGCTAATACGTATATTACCGGTGGTTTCATGGGAAGTCTGAGCCAAAAAGGCGGCGATCTCTCTCTTGCGAGTGTTGAGGTCGCCGGCGGCGGCGAAAGCCGGGAACGAACCGGCCGCCGATATGAAAGCGTCGTAAGTGTAGAACCCTCTGGCCGGACAGTTAGCGTCGTTCCGATGTTTCAGGATCTGGTCGAACAGTGGCCTCGTGACTATGGTCCCCACTCCCCCCTGCGCCAAGGTGACTGCCCTTAGCAAGGACAGTGCCCCACAAAACACGGCCATTAGAAACCTCATCATCGTCCCCGGAATCACTCCGACCGTATATTATTTCTCGCCCCCTGCTTTTCTCTTTCTTATACCAAATGAGCCACTTGGATGCCAACTATTTATAGGGCGCGAGACAAATAAAATGGCCACAAAATTCACAAACTTACTATTTGTGAACTTCACTAAAAAATATTAAATAATCCAAAATAATTTTAAAATGAAAATTTAAATCATAAATGGTAAGTTTGTGAAGTTTGTGATCATTATATTTGTGAACCTAGCATTGCTCATAGGCGCCGCGTCACTATTTCACACGGTTTATTTCTAAGGAATTTACTTAAATATCATTAAAAAATGATACTCCCTCCGTCCTAAAACTTTTTTCCCATTGCGTAAAATGAAGAAAAATCTTAAGTTTTTTCAATCTATTTTATTTAAATATTGGTATAGAAATAAAAAATCAAACATACATATTTAAAAACTACATCAAAAGTTCAACAAAACAAGTGGTAACAAGAATATTTTATTTTATCATATAGGCCATGAAAAAACACAAATAAATATAAATTCCCGTGAAATTGGAATAGTTCTCTGGAAAGAAAGTTTTAGGACGGATGGAGTAATGATTTACTCTAAATAGTATCATATGTGTTTTTTTCTTTATATAGTACTCCGTACTTTTAGTCATTATCCATTAGTCATTATTCAAGTAAATGTTTACCATCACTAGACATTATTTCTCTTTCTGGACATTATTAAATATTATTTAAGGAAATGACTTAAATTTAATACTCCCTCCGTCCCAAAATATTTGCAACACTCGCTTTTTCAACAGTCGTGAAAACTTTTGTTTATTTCTACGTTTTCATTGGTTATTTGATAAAATAAAATATTGTTGACACCTCTTATTTCGAAGAACTTTTCATGTAGTTTTTTGATATGTAAATTTTATTTTTTATTTCTATACCAATATGTAAATAAAAGAAATTGAAAAACTTGATATTTTACCATGGGAATACAAGTGTGACAAATATTTAAAGACGGAGTGAGTACTATGCTATTTGGTACAAATATTTTTTTATTTTACCTACCCGTAATAAATTTGATTAGTCATATCAAATGAATGGAGAGGCAAAATATGCCATCATATCAGTTTCCCATGGCCGCCAACTTTGAATATTACGATCACAATTTTCCACATATTATTGTTTATAAGAGAGAAATAACACCTAATAATTCCTCCGTTCCAAAACGATTTACACTTTTTAAAAAAATTGTGTCCCACAATCTCCTACTCATTTCTATTAAAAAACCACTTTTACCCTTACTTTTTCAAACCCTACTTATCACATCATACTTTTTTTCTAATAATCTACGCATCACATCCTACTTTTACCCATCACATCAAGGATATTTTTGAAAAGTCAACACAAAATTATCCCTCCCTTAATTTCAATTTTAGTCAAAATGAGTAAATCTTTTTGGAAGGGAGGAGTATTAATTTGTGGTGTTTTCTATTGTCAAAAGTCACAAACTACTTCAATGATTTAGAACATAAAAATTGTATGAAGTCTTATTTTGACATTCAGTCCTCTATTCTAGAACAAATTATACTCTTCATTATTCAAAAGTTACAAAAAATCGATCTTGTATATTTATGTGTTTTGATAAATTGTTTGATAAAATAAAATATTTTTGTCACATCTTATTTTATATATTTTTTAACATAATTTTTAAATATTTGAATTTTATTTTCAATGTCTACAAATCTTAATATAAGACAAATTAAAAAAGTTTTAAGATTTTGGTTTCATTTTCTGTAAATATAAAACATTTTGAAACGAAAATAGTATAAACAGAGTAATTTTTTGGGAGTGCTAGTCTTATTAATTTAGTTAGTTGGGTTCTCCTCAAAATAGTTAGTTGGATGTCTTTGTTTACTTTTCAAAACGTTAACGTTAATCTCTGGCGCTGATGCCAAACGGGACCAAATACTCAAATCTCATTTGGCATCGCAAATTTGCTTATTTGGTAATTTGGTAGATAAGATAGTACCGCCACCTCACGTTTGGTACCAACACGATACTTCAAGCATATTCAAGCATCACGATAATTCTTTTACATTATCATTAAAAAATTTAAGACACAATCTAACACAAATCTTTTACCTCTTTATTTAAAAAAATAAAAACTTAATTAAATTTACCTTTGCATTTAAAAAAATTAAAAACTTAGTTTAAAACCATTTTTTACCTTCTCATTTAAAATAATTAAAAACTTATTTAATACCCCTATATATCGGCAAATTATATTATACATCCGGTTGTATCCAATTTTGGGTACAATCAAGAAATTATTTATGATATGAATTTTATTTTACATGAGAATAAATACTAAATTATTAGAGAATGAGTACGGTTTTGTTTCAGAATGAACACTAAATTATTTTTGTAAATAGATATTATAATTATATTGAACCAATGTATGAAAATGAGTACTGCATTATTTTAGAATGAGTATCACGCTAATTATATTTGTGCGAGAATGAGTACTACCTTGGGTGTACCTATTTTTAGGTACATCCAATTGTACCATATACCTTCTCCTATATATCATACTTCTGGTATCATTATTGTAGTTAATAGTTTTTTCTAGTATTGTTGTTTTTATATTTTTCTTATTTTGGATTAGTGTTTTCTTTATTGTGTATTCTATTTTTTGTTTAAATCAATGAAATATTATCGTATTAATTAAATATTTACACTTTATTTTAAATATGTTTAAAAATATTTATTAATACAATTAAGTATTAACAAATTTAAATATTTAAAAACTTTTTTAAAATTAAATTTATTCTTAGTTTAAGTTAATTAAAAAATGATTGTAGTAAGTTGGCGAATTGTGTATGCATACTGCCACTTGTAATATAAAACATATGAAATTAGTAGAATCTAATATGAGACTGATGTAGATTGCCACTTGTAATATAAAACGTATGAAATTAGTAGAATCTGATATGAGACTGATGTAGACGATAGAAAATATATAGTATGAAAAGTATTGAGATTGTGTAGAGAATGTAATGATAAATAAGTAAGGGGAGTAAATTTCATAAATGTTTCCTAGTTATAGTTGGCTTTTTATTTTCAATCTACAATTCTAAGATGTTACACAAATGGTAAGAATTATTCTATATTTGGTCCTTCAACGGCTGCACATGAAAAAAAATATTTTGTCATATTTGACTAAATAATTTTCTAAAAGTGAACATTATTTGTGTATACAGTAATGTCTTAGAATTGTAGACAAACATACATATAACTAAAAATCATTTATGAAATTTACTCAAATAAATATAAACATAACGTATATATGGACATTTATTTATTTTTGATGTATCAAAAAATTACTTTAAAACAGAACCTAGGGCCTAGTCAAAGTTGACCGGAGGGAGTAACAACATTGTTGATGAAAAAATAATTACATTATTTAACAATTCTTTACAAATTTTTTTACAACAATTTCATTATTCCAATTTCCAAATAGTCATTCAATGACAAGCATTTGAATTAGACAATTAATCCGTATTAATCAACAAAGACTGCCCAATGCCTTGGCTTTCTCCCTCAAAACATACTTTTGCATCTTCCCTGTGGAAGTCTTTGGCAAATCCCCAAACACAATTGTCCGAGGTGCCATATAATGAGGCAAGCGTTCCCTACAAAAGCTCTTAAGCTCACTCTCTTCAACCTCAAATCCCTCTTTCGCCTTCACGAAGGCGCACGGCGTCTCCCCCCAAATCCGGTCCGGCCTCCCGACCACTCCCGCTTCAAGGACCGCCGGATGGTCGTACAGAACGCTCTCCACTTCGACGCTACATATGTTTTCGCCCCCCGATATTATGATGTCCTTTGACCTGTCCTTGACTTCCAAGTATCCGTCTGGGTGTTTTACACCCAGATCGCCACTGTGAAACCACCCGTCCCTGAACGCTTCATCAGTGGCTTTTCGGTCCTTCAGATACCCGGACATCACAGTGTTCCCCCTGAACATCACTTCCCCCATGGTCTTACCGTCCGCGGGGACGCTTTTTGTAGTGACGGGGTCTCTCACGTCCACGTCTTGGAGGCAAAAGTGGGCCACCCCTTGTCTCGCTTTTGTCTTTTGTCGTTCTTCGGGCGGCAAGGTGTCCCACTCGGGCTGGTGCATGCAGAAAGTACTCGGGCCGTAGGTCTCGGTTAGCCCGTATATGTGAACCAAATTGAATCCCATCTCTTCCATTTTGGAGAGGAGTTGCGGAGGCGGCGGCGAACCACCCGTCATGACTTTAACTGTGTGAGGGAGCGGTTTTCGGTCACCTAGCGGCAAGTTGACCATCATGTTCAACACGGTCGGTGCGGCCCCCATGTGAGTGACCTTATGGCGGGCAATGTTGTCAAAAATGTCATTGGGGCCAAAACGCCTTAGGCACACGTTAGTGCCACCCAGAGCAGCAACGCCCCAGACCATGTTCCACCCGTTGCAGTGGAACATGGGGACCGTCCAAAGATAAACCGGCATAAAGCTCATCTCGTGAACGAAAGCGGTAGCGATCGTGTTCAGAAACGCCCCCCTATGGTTATACACAACGCCTTTCGGCCTCGAAGTCGTGCCCGATGTATAGTTCACACTAATCGGGTCCCACTCGCTCCTCGGCCACCGTATCTCAAACCCGCTATCCCCACTCTCCAAGAACGCCTCATACTCGAGCTCGGGGACCCGGGAATCGAACCCCGAGTCTTCTTCGGGGTCGACTATCGACACGAGAAGTGGCGGTTCGCTTTCGGCGTCGTCTACTAGGCGACGGACCGCCCCTCGGGCGACCGGGAGGAGGGGGTAGTCGACAAAAAGGACCTTAGCTTCGGAATGTGCCAAGAGGGTGGACACCATTGATGAATCATGGCGAGTGTTTAATGTACAGAGGACAGCACCAGCCATTGGCACTGCAAAATGCAGCTCTTGAACTGCTGGTACATTAGGCGCCAGTGTTGCAACCTGTTTGTATTATACATTTACGAGTATCAAATTAAACGTACACTTTATCTCCATGTATATATAGGTCCAAGAAAATTAAAATGTATAGGTACATTTTAACTCCGGAACCCCGTTCGTAAAATTTACGGTTTTTAGCCCTAACCCCGCCCCAGTCCGGACACACTCTCACCCCCTTCAATTAAATCTTCCAGGTTAATTTTAACTTTGGAGTTAAAATTAAGAGAAATTTATCTAAATAGGACTAAAACATAATGACTTTCCCAACCATATGTTTTTATTTTCCAATGTAGGACCTTTAGTAATTATCAAGTAGTCATTATTCAACTAAATGTACATCATTACTGGACATTATTCTTTCCACAAGGTCATTATTAAGTCCTATTTAGAAAATAAAAAAGTTTAAGTCCTACATTAGGAAGGAAGATGATTATGTTTTATTCCTATTGCAAATTTCACTAAAATTCCGACAGCCTTTGACTTTTCAGTTTTCACGATCCAATATACTCCGTAATACTTTAGAATTAATAATTTTTTTATACCTATAAAAACAAATACTCCGTATAATATAATACTCCCTATAATTTAATACGTAGTACTATATTTTTAGTAATTTGTGGTAAGAATATAAAAAGCGCAGGGTATTGATTATTGAATGGAAGGAGTAGTTTGAATTACCACATCACCATGAGAAATGCCCAACTGAGTTAGGGCAGAGGCGAGTTTGAGGCACCTCTCATAGCTCTGCTCCCACCTGTACCTCACGCGCCTCCCGTACACTACCGACGGCCGGCCGCCGTGAACCTTCGCCGCTCTCTCCAGGAAACTTATCGGCGTCAACGGGGCGGAGTTCGCCGGGCACCTCACCAGTCCCTCCTCCGCTGATTCCCATGGCGACTCCGCCCCCTGCTTCGCTGAGATCCGGCGAGTGAAACGGCCCCCTGAGAGCGAATCGGCGAACCACTGGATCGGCGTCGCCGGGATCCTGAGCAGGCGATTCATGGCGGACACGTATTTGCTCCAGAATTGGATATATCCAGCGTCCTGGTTGGATAATTTATCCATTAATCCGTACTATTTTATGCATAGATATAGTGTCTCACAATTAGAGCATGAAGCTGAGACAAAAATGGAATGTCACACCCTGACGTGGAGCATTTCAACCATTAAAAAATAGTCTAGTCAACGAGTGGCACACGAGTGGAGTGGCATGACTTGCAATAGCAAGTCATTGTTTTCATCCCTTTTTTCATATTTTTGCCATATTTGAAAAATTATTTTACTTATATATATATTTTATAATGAAAATATTTCTATTTACTCAAATAAATACTTTTTTCATGAATATATTTTTAAATTTTTTTTGTTATCTACTCCATATTTTTATTTATTCATTCATTTCAATTTAGATTATTATTTTAGAATTACGATGCAAATTAAATATCATTTTATTTAAAAATCAATATTTTTGTCAGTTTTTAAACTTTTTAAACGTTTTTTATTATTAAAAAATTATTTTACTTATCCTATTTTCATAAAAAAAGATGTATTCCTTTAAAAAATCTGTTTTTACAAAAAATTAAAAAAACAAATGGCAACACATTGACACGATCATGACTTGCAAATAGAGGAGGAATGTTGTATCCACGCATGGCAACCTCCTTCTCCTTGCTGATCTGCCAGCGTGGCATCTCTCCAAACACGCCAGTGTAAATGCTCTTAGGTGTCAAAATGTGTGGTGTCATTTTCTTTAACCTAACATGCTGGACCTTATAAATGATGAAAACCATTTCTGAATTTATATACTCCATCCGTCTCTAAATTGATTACAATTTTTTTCTCTTTCCTCTCGATAATTTTTGTTTGTTTACGCGGTTTCATTAAGTATTTGATAAAATAAAATATTCTTGTCACCTCTTGTTTTGTAAAACTTTTGACGTAGATTTTTAATATCTAATTTTTATATTTTATTGATATACCAATTTGTAAATAAAATGATTTCAAAAAGTAAAAAATTTTACTCCGTAACCCGCAATCTGTAATCAAATTGGGGACGGTCCGGGTCCGGACCGAATAATGCACACCCCTACATGCCATTGTCTAACTAAGATGTTTTTTAATTATTCCTTGAAATGCGTCACGTGCGTGACATTCTATTTCTTTACCTGATATTGCCAATGCTCTAAAGCTTGCTATTTTAAACTTAAGTTTAGTTGTAAGGAAAAAAAAATAGTTGTAATAAGGAGTATTATAGTTTATGTTATACTCTTTCTGTTTATAAATTTCTTTCTCTTTGACTTTTTACATCCAATGAAATATTTTGGCCATGGATATGATCAACATTCTAAATTCATACATTGAAATTTTTAATTATTTTTATTTTATGATCTTTAATGAGGATTTTTCAAATTTATTTTGAGTTCCAAATTTATCAATTTGAATATTCAATATTCCAAACGTATTGGACTATCCCTGTTTTTGAATATTTAGCATGTTTCGACCTTTTGTAAATACTACAGACTATTCCTTATTAGAGATTACACATTTTTTCTCGAAAACTCATTACTGGTTAATACCACTACATATATAGATGATAATTGTTTGTAAACGCACGTAACTCACACACAATTATCATTTGTGTTTATAAGTTCAAAAATAGTTATCATCCCCAGCGAGTTTGTAACACTTTTGTGTTATCTCTATTTAGCGTGGATGCTTTAACAAAAAGACCAAAAAATGATTTTAAACAAAACATTGGCCAAACACCTTTGATACCTTTTGTAGTTTAGAAAATAAGTATTGGGGAATTTACCTAAATAGCACTAAAACATAATGACTTTCTGTAAATAGCACTACATATGTTTTTTTCTCAATGTAGCACTTTTAGTCATTATCCATTAGTCATTATTCAAGTGAATGTTTGCCATCACTGGTCATTATGGACATTATAAAGTGCTATTTAGGGAAGAAAACAATCTAAGTGCTATTTAGAGAAATGACTTAAGTCTTAGTGCTATTTAGTGCAAATATTTCATAAGTATTAATACAATAATACCCTTATGTTATCAAAATTTATTTTAAAAATTTTTATGGGTTCAAAATCTTCCAATGACGCCTTTCTAATTATTTCTCGACAACTTTTTTCGGCAAAGAGGGAGCATTAGTGCGTATTTTCTAAACCATATGGCCAAGAATGCTCATTTCTAATTTCCATCCCCCCTTTTTCTCTATTTGTTTCATTAGTTTTTAAAAAAGAATGTTTTTATTATGTTCTTAGGATTTAAATTTATGTTTGTTTGAAATAATATATAATTAACATATACTACATCTTTTTTATTATTTGTTGTCCGAAATTAAAAAGTAAAACTTTTTTTGGACTTCAAAAAAAGAGGAATACAATAAAAATAAAACAAAGAAAAAAATAAAATAAAATGTATATCTTTTTTGGTCATTCCAATCTCAAGGAGTTTTGTAGACGTTACCAAAATTCTTTTTTGTATAAGAGTATTTTTCGTATGTTTCAAATTTTTCATTTGTTTTTCCATATTCTTATTTTTTTATTCAGATTTTTTTGAAATTCCTTTTTTATTATAGAATAAAAAAATTGAAAATATTTGATTTGAGATAGATGAAGTGTATGTCAATTTTTAATTTTTATTTGAAACACAAACAATTTTTATTTTTTGAAATAGTATTAAAAAATTAGAAAAGAATGAAAAAAAACTTTTCAATGAAAAGGAAATAAAGAGATGAAAAAAGAAAAAAAGCCCAAAAAATGAACCAAAAATCAGAAATGAGCTCTATTACCCATGTGGTTTGAAAAATAAGTACCAATGTCCTCTCTTTGCCGGAAGATGATCAGAGAATGGTCAGTGGGAGAGTGGGAGTGTAAGTGTAATGTTTTAAAATCACGATAATTTTTAAAATAAGTTTTGAAAACTAAAATAATATTGATGTACATTTTCCAAACTATAAAGAGCACGGGAGCAATTTGACCTGAAAACATGATTGCATGGAAGCTGCCTACTCAGGTGTAATTGGGGCAGATTTTTGACGTTTTCTTGAATCTTAATGTCATAATAGCTCACCAATTCAAAAAAAAGTTATTTATTCCAAATAAAAAAGAAGTATTGTAGACTTTGTTTGGGTTGCACATTGACAAAATGAAAAGATTATTGGTGCTTATTGACGTGGCTCACTACATAATGGGAACTCTATGCCTTGAGGCTCTGTCTAGACTTTGGAGGATAAGGACTCAATATAAATTTTTTGGATTTTAATGGTCTATTTGGAAATAACGTTAGCGTTTTGAAAACTTTATCTAAAGGCAGCGCTTTCAAAGTAATCTGCACCACTAAAATTTTATTTAAAATGAAAACGTTAATCTCTAAAACTGTTTCCAAACATGTTTTAAATGACATGCACTCTTTACTTTTTTTTTTTACAAAAAATCGAACTTTTATGAGGGCCTACTGAGCTATGAAATTTTAAATGAAGGTGTTTGTAGATATTCAAAACTATAACTATTAATGATAGACGAGAGTGATTTGTAAACAGAGAATGAACGATGGCAAGCGGGCGATAATGGTGATAGTTATGGCAAGTCATGAACTCAACAATTGAGAAAGATTTCTTAATCTTATAGTGATATCTATTAAATTCGAGAGATACTAACACTTTTTTATCAATTAGCGTTAGCATTTGGATAAAATTTTAACGGTGTAGATTAACTCTGAAAACGTAAACGCTGAAAACTACTCTACGATAATCTTTTCAAAACGCAAACGCTTATCTCTAACGTTGATATCAAACGGGGTCATACATAAGTAATTACTAAATGCCTTTTCCCCCTTTTTTTAATGGCGGAACATGCTTTTTGACAAGAAGAAATTGTCTTTATTGAAGCACAGAGTAAAAAAAACGTTTGATTGAGGCGTAGAATTTCTCCTCCTTCGCATGAGCTCACTGCTTACATCTCTCTCTCTGTCATTGATGATTGCATGCACACCTTATATATGTGATTATAATATATATATGCTGAATTGAATTGAAATGAAATGGTAAAGCTCGAAACCCTAGCTCCGAACCAGAGGTCAAAAGATGGCTTGTCTGACAAACGACAATCGGTTCGCTCTGCTCCGAATGGTGTCGACCCGAAACAGGGAAGAGGCTTCTCCTCTCTCCAACGATTACGGACCCATGAGCGAGTTCCTGTTGGAGAGGGTTTTCCCTGTTTATGCAGTCGGAGTCTCCGAACCCGACCCGAATCTGGTCGTCTCCCTCGCGAATTCGGGCCGTGGAGTTGGGGACCCAATTTGGGATGCTGTCCGTCATGAAGCCAAGTCTGAGGTGAATTTCTTTTTTTTTTATAAAAAAATGTTTTTTTTCTTGGGTTCAAAAGAAAATTCAAACTTTCTTAGTGGAAGTAGAAGTTATTGACTTAGGCTGGTCCTGTAATATGAGAAAAAATCAAAAAGTTCTTGTGCTGAATTTGATTGGTGCTAAATTTGATTTTTCATGATCAAGAATGCAAAATATATTTATATGTTGAAAATTTTAATTTTAAAAAAATTCTCAGTGAGTACATCCAACTTCTAAACATATTGTGACCTATAGAATTGGGGACCCTGTGCATAAAAGATGAAAATATTTTCATTTATAAAAATAGAATCACTCTTTGCTTACATCTTGACCACATGCTAGTGTTGGGATTGCACTGGTTTTGTTGTTCTTCTTGACGATATTATAATATATTCATTGCTAATCCATTTTCCATTTATGAATGTTTAATCAGGCAGACAAGGAGCCCATATTAAGTAGCTTTCTTTATGCAAGTATTTTGTCACATGATTGCTTAGAGCGAGCGTTAGGCTTTGTTCTTTCCAATCGGCTGCAAAGTCTCACACTTTTGGCAACACAATTGATGGATATATTCTGTGATGTAATATTGCATGATCGAGGGATGCAACGTTCCATTCGAATGGATATACAGGTTATATACACCTGCACCATCAGTCTTACCTTAATAATTGTTGATTTAGTTTTCTATCTTAGGCTCCATTTGGATATATTCTGTGATGTAATATTGCATGATCGAGGGATGCAACGTTCCATTCGAATGGATATACATGTTATATACACCTGCACCATCAGTCTTACCTTAATAATTGTTGATTTAGTTTTCTATCTTAGGCTCCATTTGGAACTCAGATTAATGCTTGAGAAATTAAAGAAGGAGATGTATCATGTACTAGAGAGGAATTTTGGAAGGACATAAAATGTGGGGGAAACAAAAGTTCTTTCAAATTCAAAAAATCAATTTTAGATATTTATTGATGCCATTTTATCTAATCTCGGTATTATGAGAGGCTAAGAAATCTAAATGTAAGTGTAAATTCTTAAAAAGTTTTTATCAACGTTAACCCTGTTTCTTTCCATGTCCAAATATAGCCTTATGCCTTTCACATATGCCTTTCTTGCAGGCATTCCAGGACCGGGATCCGTCTTGTTTGTCATATTGCTCAGCTTTATTGTACCTTAAGGTGATTCTTTTCTTCCATTCCTTTCATTTTGAGTGAGTGCTATGTAATGATAGCTAGTGAAGTGCTCTGTAAAAGACCAACCAGCTTATGCTAAACTGAGGAGTATTTATACGGTTATACCTTGTGTATTTTGGAAGAACAATTTATTTGTTATGCTCTAGCAATATTCAGAAGTCTATGTAGTATGTACTCCGTATTATTTTGGCTTACTTAGAAAAGTTTTCACTTCTGGCAAAAACTGATAGGAAATTGTATTGAAATTACTTGGACAAGTAATATGTAAGTGGTACCAAATCCATAGTCGCAAAATTGAATAAAATGAAAGTCGGGGACCAATAGTAGGAATGACCAAATATTTGTGGACTAAAACTGGAATACTTTCTAATCCTGAATTAGTGACCCAATTTCTTATTTTTTTACTTTTATTTAATTTAATTGTTATTGCTTTACTTTTATAGGGTTACAATTCTTTGCAAACCCATCGAGTAGCTCACGCATTGTGGAATCAAGGGCGCAAAGTCCTTGCACTTGCATTGCAAAGTAGAGCAAGTGAGGTAGTGATGCGTGTGTGCTAGCTACTTGCTCTAATATTATGTTACTGCAACTTCAAAGATTTTTTTGGATAACTTT